GAGCTTGATCCCGGGACGGTATGCTTTGGAGCTTCGCCGTAGCCATGGTACGCCGCGAGACCACGTCGCGAATGTTCGTGCATGTGGTAGAGGTCAAATACGTTGTACACACAGCAATCGGCTCGGCCTTGGGCTCACAATCCTCCTGCCCCTCCCCCAGACTTGATGTAGTGTCGGGGGGACGCGACAACGCGTCCGCAACGACATTCAAAGCTCCTGGACGATGATGTAGAGTAAACTGGAAGGACGCAAAGAAGTCGAGTCAGCGGGCCAGGCGGCCAGATAGGCGTGGATGCTGCAAAAACCACTTGCACGCCGAGTTGTCTGTATACACTTCAAACGAGACTCCATGGAGGTAATGACGCCAACGTGTAAGCGCCTGCTTGATCGCAAAGAGCTCCTTCTCTTGAACAGGCCAGTTCAGCTCGTGAGGTCCCAGCTTCTTGCTGAAGAAAGCCACGGGGAGATCGTTGCCATCATGCATCTGAGAGAGAACTCCGCCAATGCACGCATGGCTGGCATCCGTTGTCACGATGAATGTTTTTTCAAAGTCTGGCAGACGAAGCACCGGTGCGTGCTGGAGCGCGAGCTTAATGGCATTGAACGCCTGGCGCTGGTGTTCATTCCATACCCAAGCAACATCCTTCTTGGCCAGAGAGCTCAGAGGCAGTACCAACGTTGCAAACTGGTGGATGAAGCGACGATAGTACCCGGCGAGGCCCAAGAAGCGTTGGAGGTCCTTAATGTTGCAAGGCTCGGTCCACTCTGCGATGGCTCGAGTCTTGCGAGCATCCACGTGCAACCCATCAGCAGAGATGGTGTGGCCCAGGAAGTCAACCGAGGGTTGCCCGAAGTCACACTTGTCAGGACGGGCGTAAAGCTTGTTAGCGCGAAGGACTTTGCAGACTTGCCGTAAGTGCTCAACGTGGTCAGCCATCGATCGCGAGAAGATACAGATGTCGTCAAGGGACACGACCACGAACAGTAGATGACTCAACAGCTTGCGCATCAGACGGGTCCACGTGCCTGGCATGCCGGCCAGACCCATGGGCGCCACGTTCCAATGATAGATCTCATGGTTCGTCCTGAATGCCGTGTACTGCTTTGACGTCGGAGACATGCGCATCTGATGGTATCCACTCGCTAGGTCGAGAATCGAGAAGACCACAGCACCCACCATGCGATCGAAGAGTTGTTCGATGTGCTGTAGCGGGATCTTAGCCACATCCGAGGAGGCATTCACCAAGCGATAGTCAATGACCCATCGAATCGGCATGTGTGGGTTGTTCGAGTGCAGCCACTCCAAGCGGGATGGGAACTTGCCCGTCGCGGGATCCTTTTTCGGCACACCGAAGATGTTCGATACCCAGGGTGAGTCCGACACTTCGATCCAGTTTTTCTTCAGCAGATCTGCCACAAAGATGTCCAATGCTTCCTGCTCAACCTTCGAGAGGTGGAAGGGAGCTCGGTTGCTTGGCGTCGCACCTGGTTTCAAGACCACTTCGTGCTCGATTGAACGGCTTGGCGGTAATCCAGGTGGCAGCTCTGCTGGAAAGACATCTCCGAACTCTTCAAGAACCGCTTGGAGCATCACTGGCACGGACTTCACCTTGGGCGACGTCTTCACCGTGACATGATACAGCTCGACGTACTCCTCATCCTTCACCTTCTTCTCGAACTCCGCAGCCGCAAGAACACTCAGCGACGACGCGTCTTTACCATCGTCACCGTCGTTGGCAAAGAGGCGTGGCAATGGTTGACATCCCAGCGCTGCTATTGAGCTCGGTCCCAACGGCATAGTGAAGTAGCCTGCCTTCACATGGTCATCGAGCTGCTGCCGCAGGTTCGGGGGAAGCGGGTGCTGAAGAAATTCGGGTTTCACTTTAACTGAAGCCAACGTCGGTCCCGCCACCTCAAGACTGCTGTTCACGGAACGGAAGTCATGTACTACACGCTGGTTATTGAAGCGCATCACTCCGGTTTGCCAATTGATGATCGGGTTGAACTGCACTAACCACGGGTGACCGAGAATCACGACTTGGTTTGAAGATACCTCCCATTCAATGAGAGAAACATCGTTGAAAGCTCTGCCAGCAAAGCAGACAGTCTCCAAGCATTGCTGTGCGGTACGCGCCGGGGTTATCGTGCCGTCAAAGCGCTCGGCCGTGACCTTGGCGGCCTCAACGTAGTGTTGCGCGAGGCCTGGACGCACAATGTTGCGCTCTGCACCACTGTCGATCAAGACGCGCACTGCTTGGCCGTTCATCGTTCCTTCAAACCTCAACAGTTCACGATTGGGTGACAACTTCGCGTCGAGAGATACCATGTTCAGTTGCAAACTGTCGATGACCTCGACGTGTTCGTCACGGTTGTCTGCGTAGTCATCCTCATCGTCGTCGGATACGTCGTCGTTTTCCACAATGCAGCGAAACGAACCCTGGTTTGCGCGGAAAGAACCGCGCCCTTGTGGAGGACGAGATGAGCCTCGGGGGTTGTTACGCGCTGGCCGCTTAGAACACGTAGCCAGGCGGTGTCCAGGCTCCTTGCAATAGAAACAAAGATTACTTCGCAGACACTCGTCACGAGAAACGAAGCGCGAACTCCCTATCTCCGTTGGAGTCGGTTCCTCGACGTGATGTGATGACTGCTGCAGGCGTTGTGGACCTTGGCCTCCGCGGTTCACGTTGGTTCGACGCGATCCTACAGCGTGTGTGCGGTCGTACATGATCGCAAACGCAATTGCGTCTGTCGTGTTCCTGAACTGGCGCTGCTTCACCTCTTGTCTGATCTCTACGACCAAGCCCTTCTGAAAATACATGACCTTGTCAATGTCTGACATGTCTTCCACCTTGCAGATGATGTGCCGGAAGGCCGACACGTAATCTTCAAGACAGGAGAAGTTGTTCTGGCGCAGGCGTAGAAGCTGGTCGCGCAGGTGCTCTTGTCGATCGGGGGTCGTGAACTCGCTGGTCAGCAGCTCCTCGAACTGTGTGACCGAGTGCAGGAAGTTCCCGTCATGGGAGACGTACTCGCGGTACCAAGCCGCTGCTGGTCCCTTCAAATTTGCGGCCAAGAGCGACAAGGGGCTCTGCTGCGGCGAGTCGGCACCGTACTGGATATTCTTCGACTCAAAGTAGAGCTTGGCGCTGAAGAGGTAGTCCGCGACGTCGTCGTCCTTGGTGCCGGAGAACTTCGGCATAGTGATGCCCTCGGCCCGGTACTCGCGCGTGTCTTGCGACGAAGAGTCCGGCACCGACTGTTGCTGCTGCTGCGAGGTGGATTGCTGCTGCTGTTGCTGTTGCAGTGTCGTCGCCATCTGGCGCTGCAACTCGGCTGTCTGTGCCATGAACTGCTGCTGCTCGCGCATCATCGCCGCGAGCGAGGCGAACATCTGCTGCATACTATCCGCGTGCTGCATCGCTGCTTCATCTATGGTTGCGCGTACGCTACACACGTCGTCAATAGATGGCTGGGGCGCGCAAGTTCCTCAGTCAAATCAATCAAAGTTTGAAGTCGCAGGCACTCCCTGGAGCGCTGCTTCCGGCAATGTCTGTAAGCCCCAACGAAGTCACAGAAGCTCGACCAGGAGCTCTGTTTCCGACAAGTACCAACGACTTGCTCCAGTGTCCCAAGGGAAGCAACTGGTGAAATTCCGATCGGCGCTAGTTCGGGCCCGCCTCGGAGCACAAAAACTCCTACTACTAGACTCGTAACGGCCACCGACGCAGATGTTACACTCGGCTGCGCACTGTTTGCAAGTGACAGCCGAGGCGATAACCGGAAGGTCGAGGTGGATGCCGCGTATGGACACGCGGAAGTGATTGGGCTAAATGCACCAATGAGATGTCGACACGAAGTGACGTGTGACAATGCGCGGCGCCACTCCTCCCCCAGAAAGAAAAGGAGCGAGCTCGGCGAAACTGGAGGCCCCTTCGGCGACGAGCGGAACGAGGCTATGGACGAGGTCACGCACGCGGCGCACCCGGAGAAGTTGAACGGCGAGAGGTACAGATGCAGCGCACCGAAGAACGTATGCGAGGAAGACGGCGTGCTCAACGGCAACGCGGGACGGACGAGGCTGGACAGCGGACACACCGTCAACGCATAGCGGCACTGGAACTGGAACTGGAACAAGGACTGGAACTGGAAGCGCGCGTCGGCTTCGCAAGTGCTACCAAGTGTAAGGTTCTGGTTGTGCTTGTTGTGTTGCGAGTAAAATGGAAACTGAATTGATGTCTTTGTCTGGTTGCTGCTATCCATCTACCCGAGGGCGCCCTCGTGGCGCTCGATCCTAAACATGAAGTGGTTGGCTGAGGCGTGCCGGAGCAGGAGCTGGCACAACCGGTGAGTATGCAGGCGACGACTTGGGCTCTCTGTATGCGGACTCAACTGATGATGCGGTTGTGTTCTGCTCTTGCACGTGCAGATCATTACAATGAGGCAGGTTGGTGTTCCGTTCCTGTATCATTGTTGAACAACAATTGTCAGGAACAGATTAAATATTGTTCGAAAAAACTAAAATAAAATATGCGCCAAGTATGCTTCTAATATAATATCATGCAGTTGATACGTGTTCGTTTGATAAAGTGTTTCTGAGAGTGAGGAGCAATAGTATAATAGTATTAACTGGCACTCACAAGAGGCCGTTGGCTTAGGCTGTTTCTGCAAAATGCCCCCCCCCCCCCCCCCACACACACACACACACACTTGTGCACCGTTATAAGACATCGACACGTACTGATCCCTGGAAACACCCCGGATTTTCAGAAAATGGAGCTACGAGCCTTGACGAGAAGTTATCCTTCGAGACCTGATCCATCAAAAAGCTTGATCGCTGGCAGTATTTGGTACTAGAATGTAAAATCTCAAACGATGGTTAGATAATGAAACGATTATTCTCAATATGCTAAAGACTAGTGTACCTCTAGCCCGAATAAATTGCTCATTTCTAGGGCGACCTTTTGTAAGAAAAAAAATAGTACGAGTAAAATTTCCTCCCTATTTCCTTTCCTCATAAAACTTTCGGTAAATGATCGATTTTTACGAAGATTTTTTTACTGCCCGTATTCTGCCCTGACTTGATTCTATACCCGGATCATTTAACTGGGTAAATCATCCGGCCATCTTAAACATCTCGGTAAATGAAGGTTGGTTAATATGTATATATGACACAGTAAAGTGACAGTCAAGTAGATTTATGCATTAGCTACGTAATGCATTGTCCCAGACTACTAAATACTATTAGTCGTCTATGTCACTCTACTCATCGTTGTCCTGATCGACGTCCCAGTCGAGCGAAAAGTCATTCGTATCCGCGTGCTCATCAATCTCATGGGCTAAGTCTTCAGCCGACACAGCGTCTCCAGGACTTTCGACATTCTCAAAAAAAAAATTAAAAAAAAAAAACTAGAGTCTTCGTCATCACTGCTGACTGATGCTGAAGATCCGTCGACCTGGTAAGCCACTTCGTCGTCATATTCGTCCTCGGAATCCGGAGGAATTTCAAAACTTGTCAAGTCTGGCGCTGTCGGGAGCTGAATGCGTGGAGCGCGCTGTTTTTTCGGCGAAGCCCACGCGTTATACTGCTCTGACGCTGCGCATACACCGGAGACATCCTAGCAATCGTCGCGACATACTGCCGCAGATTCGTATGATGCTTGAAGGCCGCACTCAGCTCCCTGTTGAACATCTCTAAAGGGTTATTCGTGCGTACCACAACTGGGTTTGCGATGCCAAACATTCCACTCCGTGATGAAGTATCGCTGGAGTCACGTTTTTCTGAAGTAAACCCAGAAGCTCCTCCATTGCTGACGTAAGTACACATACCCTTTAGCAACGCATCGTTGTTTATATCATGTTTGACCCAAGCGATGCCTTTTGGGTCAACCAGTCCTAGGTCGATGACTGTTAAGATGTCCGGAACACCGGGCTCGATTGCGATAGAAGCTTCCTCCTTCATAATACGCTTGTTTCTCATTCGTCGGTGCAACGCCTGTTTAAAGCGAAAGAAGAAAAACAAACTCCCCATGACATCAAGATTCGAAGCCTGATGCCGCACCGATGAAATGAGACTGAATTCGAACGCGATCTGCAGGAGTCATATTCTTGCCAGTATCGCGATTGATCAAGTGAAAAACATCGCCATATATACACTCCGTTTTGAAGGTGCATAGCACGAAGTACACTGGCGCGAACTCGTTGCGCACCGAATCGTCAACCATGACGATTAAATACTGATGAAATCCTCTCGGCACGCAGCGGAAAGTCCCGAAATGCAGAAATGCTATACCACAACAACAACAACCCCTTCAAGGCAGGGTGATCCCAGGCGAGGATTCGATTGGACGGCTCCTTCGGATCCGAGTGGGCTGTAACGAGGTGGAAGAGGAAAAACGGAATGGCCGAATCTTTGACTAAAGAGCACGGAGGAACTTCAACGACGCCATGGATATCACTACCGTAGTATCTACGACGGACACACCTGATGCGACCGAGGACTTGTTCTTCTGTTAACACTTCAAGAAGTTTTTCTCGGTCAGGCCCGTAGAAAGCAGCGCGCAATTGCTCCCAAAGAGCACCCTCTGGTAGCCCAGGATTCTCTGTGGCAATCCGATCTGTCATCTTCTTTATTGCGACCGTTTCATTAGCAAGTATACCATCCACCACGACGCCTTATGGACAACTGGGGTCACCCTCTACTCATCACTCCGCGGTCGGGGTGATCTTAAGCACTGCCTGGCAACCAGGGGTTCTTGATGTACTGCAGCGGTAGGCGATGTATTTTTGTAAAGTACCAGGACTTGCAGTAGTGAAAGCCCTTATAAATCTTGATTCTTTTCGCAGCGCGGTTCTTCTTAGGTCGACGTGCTGGCCGATGTAAAGCAGGTACCGGGGCCGTCACATCTTCACGAATTTGCTCAGGATCGATAGGATCTGGAAACAATAAGGCCTAAAATGCAAAAGAATGCCGCTGGAGGCATATGTGGCCTTACGGCGACCCGTACGTTTTTTTTCTTCGGTAAGGCTCGCGTGTGCTGACAAGTCATCTTGCGCAGTGTATTCTTCCGGAGAAAATGGTTCTTCTGGTCTTGAGCAGCGTGCAGAAAATTTAGAAGTGAGCCTAGAACTGACCATGGTGCAGCCTATGCGATCTTTCCATCTACACGAATACGTCGGTGTGAAGTTGACCTGAAAATAGATATCACTCTTTTGCTTTACTTCTGCAAATACATTTTGTCCTGGTGGTGCTCAGGGCACTGAGAGCATTGCGAAAAAAAATACTCCGGGTAAAATATCTGATCAGGCCAAAATACGGGTAGTAATAAAGCTTAACCATTTTTATGGGCCCCGCTACACCGCTGTCACACAAGGAAAAATTGTCACACTCATTTTAAAGAGAGATTTGATCATTGTCAACGACGGAGGGCTGGTCGTAACAAACATAGCACCGCGACATTAGCAGCGATGGGCTATGGAAGGCTAACTAGAACTCTGCCGTACTTGCGGCCGTGCGCCACGCTGTTGCATCAACTGTAGAGCACATATGCTCATTGGAGACGGTAACAGGCCCAGCTGCTTACACCAGCACGCGAACCACTGCTGTGTTGTCTCCAGAACTCCTTCGGCCTTCACTAACGCCGCTAGCACGCGTTCCAATTCTATTGTGCCAGCACCGAAACGTGTATCAGTATAACGATCGTGCATACATATCGCTCTCACTTCCGGTTGGGGCCTAGCCTAATAACCTTTGACTAATTTATAGTATCAAATTATGCGGCAAAGGAGAGGTCCACAGATCTTGGTCCGAATTTAGGCGCGGAAATCCACCCTGGCCTCTGGAAACGATAAAGCGAGGGTCGCTATGCGCGTACAAGACCACCACAACGACAGCTAGCTACAAGCATGGTGATGCATGTAGAGGTCAAGCTACACAAACATCGTAGGAGACACCTATCTCGTGTCTGGTCTCGGCGATTACGATAAGTTCATTGGATGTTACACGATGAACCCCATGCCGCTTTCCTACCTGCTAAACGTAATACTATCGAAGTACATTATATTCATTGCAAGATCTATCGGGTACAGTACCACGGTTACTGCAAGTAAAGACGAACTCTGTATTACGGCTGCGGTGCTGGTAACGCCGCCACAGCAGGTGTGACCAACAACGATACGACCTGCAATCTCAACTTCGGCGAGCATTCCAAGTGGACTATTACTGTTGCGACCGGCCTATTCACTTTATACGAACAGCTCATTCGTATTCGGTATTGTAGCAGCCACGATGTTGCGATTGCAATCTTTTACTGGAATTTTTATGGAAAGAGGTCATTTGTTGTTTGTTTGAGTCATTGAAGTGAGCTGAATAGCTGCATGCCGTTGATCCTAAGTGGACAACTGACCATGACCATAGTATACTGCAGCGATTACGCACGGATTCCTACCTTACAGCAGTCTTAGTGAGAGTTGAACGGCAATTCAGCATAGTGGTTAAAACTAGATCACTATTATATCGACTCAAATACCTCCGGTATTGACACGCGTGCGATCAACTTCAATTATCCTTTAATTGATGGAGCACATTTTAGGCCGATCCCAATTCGCAAGAATCGTCTCGAGTTTCTATTGGGTGGTTTTAATTAACCAATCAATGAGGTAACACAAAAATGGTGGCAACAATTGGCGCAAGGGACTATACGAAATGGCGCCAAAAGTTTGTCGCCAGTTTCGATGCCGTTTATCATTTTTCAATTGTCTTTCAACAAGCAACACCTACCTTGCCATCCCCATCCACCTTTGCGTTGTACAGGTGTTGCCGGCACCGACATTTTTTCCGTCACTGCTGAAACACCGTCCAATCCATCCCAAGATCGCATCGGTCGTTGCCACCTTCGCCACGGCGCTGTTGTTGCCGTCATCGCCGTTCATGCCGCTGCCGGTGAAGTTGCCGTTCGACTCACCTACCATTGCCATGTTGGTGGCATCGATATGGTTGAATATGATCATTTTTCCGACATTACTAGAATTTTGTATAAAGTGTAACAGCCAATAGAATTAAACTTGCCAATTTTAAACCAATCATTCGACGTTA